CAAGCAGTGTACAGGAGCTCTCAGTACTCTCTGCTCCATTTTGCTGTGAACATAAAACCGCTCTAATAAATAAAGCCTATTTTTAAAATATGCAAGACACTGTGTGTTCCACAAAGCCTAAGATATTTATTTACCTTCTAGCCCTTTACAGGAAAATGTTGCCCACCTTGACCTTGTTATAAAGTTTCTGATTTCCTTTAATAAAGCTGTTTCCAGACTACTACTTTTATTCCTTCTCTGAAGCTTCAATTTACAATCTCAGAACTTCCTGAAGCTATTTTAATTTAATCTAGTGAATATCATGAAAGTTACATGTAAAAATCAGTAGAATACATTCTGATATCAGAGAGATAAGATACTTTTTAATGTAAAATCTTAAAAGACTAGGAAGGGCAAAAATGCTGAAGAAATAAATCACAGAACACATACTATAGAAAAATTACCATTTACGATTCCTTAAAAAATATATCTAAATCTAACAAAACATGTACATGGCTTTTATACTGAAAACACACAATACTAATGAAAGAAATCAAAGATCTAAATAGATGGAGAAACATATCCTATCAAGTTAATGGATTAGAAAACTTCAAGAGGGCCGGGCGCGGTGGCTCAAGCCTGTAATCCCAGCACTTTGGGAGGCCGAGGCGGGTGGATCACGAGGTCAGGAGATCGAGACTATCCTGGCTAACACGGTGAAACCCGTCTCTACTAAAAATACAAAAAAAATTAGCCGGGCGTGGTAGCGGGCGCCTGTAGTCCCAGCTACTTGGGAGGCTGAGGCGGGAGAATGGCGTGAACCAAGGGGGCGGAGCTTGCAGTGAGCCGAGATCGCGCCACTGCACTCCAGCCTGGGAGACACAGCGAGACTCCGTCTCAAAAAAAAAAAAAAAAAAAAAGAAAACTTCAAGAGAGCAAAAATGTTAATTTTTCCCCAAAATGATATATAAGTTTAACAAAACTCATCAAAATCACAGAAGGATTCTTTGTGCATAATGATAAAAATTATTCAAATTTACATGAAAAGGCAAAGGAATCAGAATACCTAAAATAATTCTGAGAAAAAACAAAATGGGAGGACCACTATACCCAATTTCAAGTCATACATAATCAAGACAGTGTTGTATTGACAGAGAGGTAGACATGTGGATCAACAGAGAATCTGAGCACAGACTGCCTGGAATCTAGCCAGCTGCTGCTAATGAAACACTGCAGCTGTGATACCCACCTTGCCAAGTGCATAGGAGCTGGGTGGGTTTACTGTCCCCTGCTACTCCCCACTCCTTATGTGAACTCTTATGTGCAACAGAGGCAGCTGTACTCCTACCTGTAACATCACCGCGGTGGCCAGAGAAGTGTCCGCTGACTGCTGCTGGGACCACTGCTTGCCCTACACACGGAAAGTCAGAGTGCAGACTTACCTGACCCAGCCTCCACTTGGCTTTGCCCCACTACCTGCCCTGGTAGCTTAATACAAACAATAGAAACTTTTGGGAGCATTATGGCACTGCCCATTGCCTGAGACACCAGGGTACCTTCCCTGGGTAACATAAAGCAAGCACAAACATCACCAGTACCACTGCGGCTGGCACTCTTTGGCAAGCACCACCTCCGAGCTGGAGGCCAACACACACAGTCCATTACAGCATCTCTAGGTAGAATAACACAGTGCCAAGGAAGGAAAAAATGTGTGTGTGACTTCAGCTATCACCATTGCCTGTACCACCCTGGCTAACTAAGAGGTCCTGAGTCTGTCCATGTGACCAGTTCATAACTACTGCAACTGGCATCTGAGAAAGCAAACACACTAAGGCTATTTAAAACCAAGGAGTCTCAGAATCTATGTCACTCCCCTGCCACCTCCACCACAGCTGGCCCTGGTAGCCACTACTGGAAATTCTGAGGACAGCTCACATCACTGGATTCCTTGCAGACATTCCCCTGCACCAGCCTAGAGCGTGGCAGCCCCACTGGGTGGCTAACCCCAGCAGAGCATTAACAGTAGTCTGGCTCTCAGGGACTCCCACTACTGCAGGAAGGGGGACTATACCATATCAAGGGAGCATCTCGTATGACAAAAGAACCCAGACGGCAGGCCTTGAGTTCCAGAACCTTTGTTTGTGGAAAGTTTCTTTCAGCAGAGGAACAGGTGCAGTGCTGGGCTTAGCGTGGAAAGTCTGTAACTCTACTTTGTCAGGCAGCTCTCATGCTCATGAAGGGTCTTAAAGAAAGAGCAGGCTAGCTAGCCGGGCATGCTGGCTCACGCCTGTAATCCCAGCACTTTGGAAGGCTGAGTCGGGCGGATCATGAGGTCAGGAGTTCGAGACCAGCCTGGCTAACATGGTGAAACCCTGTCTCTACTAAAAATATAAAAAATTAGCCGGGCATGGTGGTGGGCACCTGTAATCTCAGCTATTTGAGAGGCTGAGGGAGGAGAATTGCTTGAACCCAGGAGGCAGAGGATGCAGTGAGCCAAGATCACACCACGGCACTCTAGCCTGGGCAACAGAGCAAGGTTCCATCTTAAAAAAAAAAAAAGAGACTTATTTTCCCCCTTAATCTACCACTGCAGACAGAGCTAGGGCTTCTCCCACGGGAGCTTCACGTGGGTACACCTATAGACAGCCTTTCTGGAACACGTCAGGTTTATCCTGCATCCCCACAGGAAGAGTGCCCTCCAGTTTCAGGCTTGTATGTGGGGTAGAGTCATACTCCCTCTCTACCTGGAACACTAACGTTCCTGCAGATGAAAAGAGGTACCTGTCTGATCTGAACAGCCGGAACACTGGGTCAGGAGTATCACTAGGTGGATCGCATTCCTGATGGCCTGGCAGTGAAACTGAGAAGTCAGAGGGCAGAATATCTATCTAATTCTTTTCCTTGGGATAGATATGGGGAAGCGGGGAGGGGAGCAAGGGTTGAAAAACTGACTATTGGGTGCTCACTATCTGTGCTCACTACTTGGATGTGCTCGCTACTTAACTGTGCTCACTACCTGGATGTAATGTACTCAAGTAACAAACCTGCACATGTACCCCCTGGATCTAAAATAAAATTTAATTAAAATAATGTATTTTGCAGCAACGTGAATACAGCTGGAGGCCATTATTCCAAGTGAGGTAACTCAGGAATGGAAAACCAAATACCCTATGTTCTCAGTCATGAGCTAAGTGAGAGGGAGCTAAGCTATGAATATGCAAAGGCATACAGAGTGGTATAATGGACTTTGGAGACTCAGAAGGGGGAGGATGAAAAGGGAGAGATAAAAAAACTACATATTGGGTACAATGTACACAACTTGAGTGACAGGTACACTAAAATCTCAGACTTCACCACTATGTAATTCATCCATGTAACCAAAAACCATTTGTACCCAAAAGCCACTGAAATAAAATTTAAAAAAAATTTTAAGCCACATATGAAGGATAGCAGAACCATCCTATTTCGGCTTTTGACTATACACCTCTGAACTGTTTCAATGGAGTAATAAACTTCTACCATATTAAAAAAAAATAGATACAGAACTCAGAATAGATCCACACAAATATGCTCAACTGATTTTTGACAAAGGTGCAAAAGCAATTCAATGGAAGAAAGATAGCCCTTTCAACAACTGCTGCGGGTACAATCAGACATCCACAGCCAAAAAATGAATTTTGACCTAACCCTCTCACCTTATGAGAAAACATTTAATTCAAAATGGATTACAAAACTGAAATATAAAATGCAAAACTATAAACTTATAGAAGGAAATAGGAAAAAAATATTTTGGATCTAGAGATTGATGAGTTTGCAAGATGCAATATGACCCATAAAAGAATAAAAATCAATGTTAGACTTCATCAAAATTAAAAGCTTTGCTCTTCAAAAGGCCTTGTTATAAAGATGAAACAAGCCACAGAACAGGAGAAAATATTTGCAAACCATATGTCCAACAAATGACTTATATCGAAAATATATTTTTAAACTTCCAAAATTCAACATTTAAAAATCCACATAAAAAATGATCAAAAGACATGATAAGGCATTTCACTGAAGAGGATATATGGATAGCAAATAAACACATGAAAAGATGCTTAACATCACCAGTCATTAGAGAAATGCAAATTAAGTTCAAGAGACAATATCCTTACTCACTTATTAGAACAGCTAAAAAAATTAACAATACCAAATGTTTGGTGAGGGGGCAAAGAAACTAGATACAGCAGTCCACCTTGGGGATTAGGTTCCCAAGACCCCCAGTGGATGCCTGAAACTACAGACAGTACTGAACCTTATATATATCTATAGATAGATACCTTTAGATTTTTTGTATGCATATGTTTTAATTTATAAATTGGACAAAGTATGAGTTAACAATGAAACAGAAAAATTATAATGTGTTGTAGTAAAAGTTTCGTAAATATGGTCTTTCTCTCAAAATACTTTCTTGTACTGCACTTACCCGTCTTTTTGTGATGACGTGATAAAAGGCCTATGCTGACGGGATGAAGTGAGGTGAATGACACAGGCATTGGGACGTAGCGTTAGGCTACTACTGTCAGGAGGATCAACTGCTTCAGGTGATCCTGGATCATAGAACCATGGTGGTATCAATGGTTAAAAGTCAACAGCAGAAAATAATAATGACTAACAGGCAGGTAGTCTATAGTATACATATGTTGGACAAAAGGAGGATTCAGGTCCCAGGTGGGAGGGCATGGAATTTCATTATGCTATTCGGAACAGCACACAATTTGAAACTTAGAGATTATTTCTGGAATTTTCCATTTAACATTTTTGGACCACTGTTAACTGTGGGTTAATTGCATTCAAGGAAAGTGAAACCATAGATAAGGGGTTTATGAGACCACAGTATCTCATAAATTGATTATGGGAATCTGAAATGGTATAGCCAATCTGGAAAACAGTTAAGCAGTTTCCTAAAAAATCAAAGGTATGCTTCCCATATGGGCATTACTACAAAGAAACAAAAACTTAAATTTACAGAAAAACCTGTAGGAAGTGTTCACTTCATCTTTATTTGTGGTACAGTTATCCATACTAGAGAATATCACTTAGCAATAAAAAGAAATGAGCTATTGTTAGGTACAACTGCTTGGATGATCTTAAGGGCTTCATGCTGAGTGAGAAAAACCAAAGGTCATACACTATATTATTCCATTGCTACAACAATATGTAAGTGACAATATTACAGAAATGAAGAACAAATTAGTGATGAAACAGTTCTATGTTGATTGCAGTAGTTACACAAATTCACACATAATGAAACAGAACTATACACATGCATTGTATCCTTGCCAATTTCTTTTTCAGAATTGTAGTTACATAGATGTAAGCAACCACTGGAAGAAATTAAAGACACATGCATCCATGTGGTAAGTAAATGGACAACAAACTGTGGAATCCTACCCAACAATAAAAATTAGAAAAATCATTAAAAAAAACCCTCTCTCGTGGGTGATGCCCACGATGGATTAATGGGGGTCGAATTTGTCCTCCTCCAACAAACTTTAAAATAGAAAAAGATAAAAGGTAATTCTATGCAGACATTGGACAGAAATTCTTTTTTTTCTTTTTTTTGAATCAGTGTCTTGCTCAGCTGCCCAGCCTGGAGTGCAGATGCGTGATTTTGGCTCACTGCAACCATCTCCCAGGTTTAAGCAATTCTCCCATCTCAGCTTCCGAGTAGCTCGGATTACAGGCACCTGCCATCATGCCCGGCTAACGTTTGTATTTTAGTAGACATAGGGTTTCATCGTGTTGGCCAGGCTGGTCTTGAACTCCTGACCTCAGGTGATCCACCCGCCTCGGTCTCCCAAAGTGCTAGGATTACAGGTGTGAGCCACCACACCCCACCAGGACTGTGATTCTTTCAAGACAAGAGATTAACTCCATAGTCACCCAATTTTATGCCTGGGGGCACTCTGCAAAACTGGACACACAGAGTTGCGTTCAAAAAGAACAGTGGTCTTAATGAGCAGAGAAAGATCACAATTTAGGACTATTGAGAAGACTGAATTGTGATGCAGGGTACAGAAGTAGAAACTGAAAAAGAGCTCCAGAAATCTGCATGAGGTGCCCAAGAACAACAGAACTTTCTGCAACTTATATCTGTGGGTTAATTGCATAATAATTATATCTGTGACATCTAATGTGGTAGTCACCACTACCATGTGCTACTAAGCACTTGAAATGTGGCAAATGCAAGTAAGAAACAACATTTTAAATTTAAATAGCTACAACTTGTGACTACTGTATCAACCATTATAGCCCTAGAAGTTGGCTGAACAGCAGGCTGCAAATGTGCAGAGCAAAATTCTGAGACATGACAGAAGTCTATGAGCTGAACAGAGTACAGAGGTGGCAAAATTCAGATGTGGCTCTGACCAAGCAGACTGGAGAGCTTTTGCTGAACCATATGGGCTTTCAGTTTAGACACAGAAAGGATATACTTAAGCTGGGCACAGTGGCTCACAGCTGTAATCCCAACACTTTGGGAGGCCGAGGTGGGTGGATCACCCAGAGGTCAGGAATTTGAGACCAGCCTGGCTAACATGGTGAAAATTCGTCTCTACTAAAAATCCAAAAATTAGCCGGGCATGGTGGCGAGCACCTGTAATCCCAGTTACTCAGGAGACTGATGCAGGAGGATTGCTTGAACCCAGGAGGCGGAGGCTGCAGTGAGCCGAGATCATGCCATTGCACTCCAGCCTGGGCAACAAGAGTGAAACTCTGCCTCCAGAAAAAAAATAAAGAAAGAAGGAAAAAAACAAGACAAGAAAGAAAAAAAAAATTGCTAAAGCTTTGGAAAAGAACTGTTGGAATCTGTGGCCTTCTTGAGTGAGGTCTCACCCACCCCTAGGTTGATCAGTAAAAACTACAGTTTTGTCTGGCTGTAGTTAACTGAAAACTAGCAACTTTGCTGTAAGAGGAGTCTTGATTTACAGCAGAGGTATAAACCTACAACTCTGTAAGTCAAAAGTAAAAAAATCACTTAGGAATGGACAAGGAATATTTTTAGTTATTAACCAAAGGTTACAGTCCTAGTTCTTGAAGAGCAACAGAGCAGCCAGAAATTTAACAAGGTCCTGGAAACAGAAGGGTAGAGAAGAGTAACATGACCTCTCCAAACATCTTTGGCAAACTGAAATGATGCATGCACAGAGGAGACTCAAGAGAGCATGGCAAATGTAAAAACCAAGGGGGATTTGGGAACTGCCTGCTACACTGAATGCAGCCCCCATCCCACACAGAACAACCAACAGTGGATGGAAGGCTTATAGACTCAAGTGTTTGATCTTAACCTTTGTCCAAATGATTGGCTGACTTCTAAGCTATGCAGACACAGGAACTACCCCTAGCAAGCAAGAATAAATATTGAAATAAAGAATTTAAAAACAGAGCACAGACAGCCAGAACTTCACATCATATATAAGATAGATTCCACAGTTTGAGTCCAGTCAAAATGCTAAATTTAAAATACAAATCCCTTAGATATAAGACAAAATTGAGTTGCTACAATATGCTACCTAAAATGTCCAGCTGTCAACCAAAAATTATTAGACATGTAAAAACATAGGAAAGTGAAATATACTAAAGGAAAAAAAGCATTCAGTGAAAACTAAATCTGTATGAGCCCAGATACTTGATTAGTCAAGCCTTCAATAAGACTTCATAACAAATATATTCAAAGAAATAAAGGTAAAAAAAAAAAAAGATTCAATAAAAATCACAATAGAAAATTATAAAGTATAAAAAAAAAGCCATCACACTTCATTCTTCCTAAGTCCTACACCAGAGTTGCTTTGAATGTGTCTATTTAATATGTAAGACCTGAAAAGGGAGTTGACCTAAAAATAATTTACTGTGAAACATCAATTTCTTCAGAGTTAATGATAATTATATGCTAACCATACCAAAAACCACACCAAAAACCAAAAAAAACTTGTTTTTATGATTTTTCTAATTTTCTAATTAACCAGAGTTAATGATAATTACATGCTAACCATACCAAAAATATTGAATAAAATTTTTAGCTTAGATTTATTTATTGAGGGAAAGTTGAGGCCACATACAGAAAGCAATGGCAAAAGACACTGCCTCCAACGAAAATATGAACCAAAAAGCATGATGGAAAAACATTTACATGTAATATACTAAAGAGATGTCATGCGAACACAGACACAGAAGGTGAGAATACCATGTGATAATGCAAGTAGACTGAAATGCTACCTACCAGTGCAAGTCAAGGAATGCCAGAAATTGCCAGTAAACCACCAGAAGTTAGGAATAAGGAAGGATTCTCCTTTACAGGTTTTCGAACACATCACAGCCCTGATAACAGCTTGATTTCAGGCTTCTAGCCTCTAGAACTGAGATAATAAATTTCTGTTGCTTTAAGTCACTCATTTTGTGGTATTTTGTTATAGCAGTTTTAGGAAATTAACACAAATATGCCATTTACCACAGTTTTCTCCCATTGGATTATTTAATAATTAATGATTTAAAATTCATATTTGGAAAAGGTGTTTTTTAATGAATAGATATATTAATCGGTCTCTTTTGACACAGAAATGTTCTATATTTCATTTTCGTATTCTTGTCAAATTATAAAAATAATATCATAAATATGGGCATCGCTACAAGCTATTATGTATAGTCACTGAAAAATCGGAAAAAACATGGGAGTTAGAAATGTTTATCAAATACAAGTCTACACAAAAATGAATAAAATTTTTATTTTAAAACATCACAAGTAATTACAAAGACAAATGTCCCAACTATACAAACTGTTTTTCACATATACATATATACACACATATTTAAGCTTGGTTGATCTTTCATCTTTTTATCTGAGTAAAAAGAAGAACACTTTCCTCATTCAGGAGATTTTTGATGTTATAATAGTTACCTAAAAGTGATAAGAAAATAAAAATTATTTCCATAGGAATCATTCCTTTTGATTAAGTATATAGCCATCACCTGACAGTTGTAGTAAGACACAAAATAAAAACAATTCACCTAACCTAAGTAACTTACTTGATTCCATGAACTACAACATCAAGAGCTAACCATGATACGTGACCCAGATGAGGCTTCAGAGAACAGAAATACAAATTTCATATCGTTATGGTAATAAATGCAGGGATGAGTCAGTCAAGAGGGTAAGAAAAGAAAATCTCTTTCTGCAACCAATCTTTATTAGGTCTACAGAACTTCTGTGGATTCCTCTAAACCAGACATACTCATATATATATGAGTATAAAAGGTACAATGTTAAGTAGAATGAAATCTCAAAATTTTAAAAAGGCAAATGCTACTCTTAAATGAGGTAATAAATAACAGGAAAAGTGAAATACAGATGGACCACAATTATCACATGTGACAGGCTTATTAGAATTGAGTACTATCACTGTGACTTTCTATATACTAGAAATTGAGAAAGTATTCACAACAGTGCTGACATACTAAGGACTATGCAAGTATGACTATTATTATTGTCTCCTAACAGAATATAAGCTCTATAAGAGCAGGGATTTTTGCCTGTTTTGTTCGTTTATATATCCCAAATCTTCCAGCAATACATGGACATAGTAGACACTTTGTTTTGTTTTTGTTTTTGAGACAGAGTCTTGCTCTGTCACCCAGGCTGGAGTGCAGTAGTACAATCATAGCTCACTGCAACCTTGAACTCCTGGGCTCGTGCAATCCTCCTGTCCCAGGCTCCCAAGAGCTAGGACTGTAGGTGTGCATCACCATGCCTGGTTAACTTTTGCATTTTTTGTAGAGACAGGGTCTCCCTACGTTGCCCAGGCTGGTCCCGAACTCCTCACCTCAAGCCCTCCTCAGCCTCTCAAAATGTTGGGATTACAGGTGCGAGCCACTGCACCTGGCCCATAGCAGTCTCTTAATCACACTTGTTGAATGAGTGAATGAATGACAAGTGGATTAAAATGGCTATTTACAATAACTTTTGCTGTTCAATAGCTGATGAAGCATACCATTCCATTCTTTAAACAGTTTTAAATAATGTTCTAAAAACATAATTTCTTAGAGATAACATGGGGCAATTTTCGTTCTACTCTGGAATACAACATATCTGCTGACTAAAAATATATACATATTTATGTATATATACATATGTGTATATATAAATATATACATACATATTATTTTGAGACCGAGTCTCGCTCTGTTCCCCAGGCTGGAGTGCAGTGGTGCAACTTCTGCTCACTGCAAGTTCCACCTCCCAGGTTCATGCCATTCTCCTGCCTCAGCCTCCAGAGTAGCTGGGACTACAGCTACCCACACCACGCCTGGCTAATTTTTTTGTATTTTTAGTAGAGATGGGTTTCACCATGTTAGCCAGGATGGTCTCAATCTCCTGACCTTGTGATCCACCCACCTTGGCTTCTCAAAGTGCTGGGATTATAGGCTTGAGCCACCGTGCCCGGCCAATATTTTTATAGTCAGTAGTAAACAACTCTTGTTCTCATGTATCAAAACATTAATTGGTTGGGCACAGTGGCTCACACCTGTAATCATGGCACTTTGGGAGGCCGAGGTGGGCAGATCACTTGAGGTCAGGAGTTCTAGACCAGCCTGGCCAACGTAGCAAACTCTCGTCTCTACTAAAAATACAAAAAGTAGCCAGACGTGGTGGTTCGTGCCTGTTGTCCCAGCTACTTGGGAGTCTGAAGCACAAGAATCGCATGAAACAAGGAGGTGGAGACTGCACTGAGCTGAGATCGTGCCACTGCACTCCAGCCTGGGTGACAGAGCGAGACTCTGTCTCAAAAACAAAAAAACCACCACAAAATGCTAATACACTTACCTGATAATCAAATGAAAGGAAAATATGTACCAAACTATTTCGACATCCATCAGTCATATCACACTTCATTTTGACCACTGTGGCTTCCATTTCCATGGTGCCCAAAAACAACCATATACATGTTGTCTAAGTGAAATAAATTGTCTTTAATTATACTTACCTGAAGGAACATAGAACGAATCCCCAGTACTTATTATATAAGGTGTTTCGTGTAAAGTACACAAAAGGTCACCAAAGTTAACATAAAAAACCTGTAAAAATAAAAATAAAAATCTCATTCAAAATTGAATCATGACAATACTCCAAAGGAACCTTAAAATGTAGTGGGAAGAAAAACAATTCCCCACAAATGTGCCTGCTTTAATCTCCAGAACTTGTAAATACATTAAATTTCATGGCAAAAGAGACCTTGAGATGGGGAGATTATCTTTGATAATGTAGGTAGGCCCAATCTAATCACATTAAGCCCTTAAAAATAGAGTACTTTCTCCTGCTGGAAGCAGAGGAGAAATGAAGCAGAAGGAACAGTCACAGAAATCTGAAGCATGAAAAGGACTTGCACTGTTGCTGGTACTAAAGATGTGGGGCCATACACCAAGAAACATGAGTTATTTCTAGAAACTAAGAATGACACCCTGGTGAACAGCCAATGAGGAAATGGGAACCTCAGTCCTACAACCACTTGAAACTGAATTCTGCCAACAATCTGAATAAGATTGGAAACAGACTGGAAGCAGATTCGTCCCTACAGCCTCCAGAAAGAAATACAAACCTGTCAACATCTTGATTCCAGTCTTGTAATACTCTAAACAGAATACCTGGTCAAGCTCATGGTTCTCTCTACATAACGGTGCAATAGATAATAGAAGAGTACTGTTTTAAGCCATTAAATTTGTGAAACAGTCATGCACTGCCTAACAACGTTTCAGTCAACAACAAACTGTAAACATGATAGTGGTCCTATAAGGTTACCACGGCACTAAAAAATTGTATTGCCTAGTGACCTCACAGCCATCATGTCCTAGTGAAAAGCATTACTCATATGTTTGTGGTGATGCTGATGTAAATAAACTGCACTGCCAGTCACATTAAAGGATAGTACACACAGGAAAAAGTGGAGGACAGAAGGTAGGACTAACTTGCAGCTCCCACTCAGATGGACAGAACAGCGTGTGGAAACTTCACATCATGAACTTCTTTGCTCCAAGAACTATCACAGGAACATACCAAGAAAACTGAAAGAATTCACAGACTCTTTGAAAGAAACGGCTTGCCGCTGCAAACTCCATGAGACAGCTGAAAAACTATGAGTGCCCAAAGTGTGAAAGGGGGGAAAGTCTGCCTCCAAACACATCCTTACTGGGGAACCTGAAAATCCAGGTCATGAGAGAAGGATTTAACCTTACCTAGAGCTGAAAGGAATTGAGAAACCCAAGGGAAATATAATAGTAGAAGCAAAGGTGGGAAGAGCCCTGTAAGTACTCCTGGTTTCCAAGGAAACCATTTCTGACTTTCTCTCACAGGGTTCCTTGGGGAGGGCTGCCAGTGGAATTGGGGAAGGACCACAGGAAGAAGGAAATTTCTAGTTGAACTTTAAATAATTTTGACCACGCATGAATTTTCCTGGGCAGAATTGGGGGAAGGGCGAATAGGAAGTTCAAATACAAGCCAGGGTAGGGGGCAAGGGGCAGGGCCTGAAGGCCCAGCTTCCTTTCTCAGCAGGGAGGCTTGTAGCCTGGCGCAAAATGTCAGTCCTGCTCACTGGTTGCCTGGATACAAACTTGGTTTGGTGGGGCACAGTGGCAGTGAAACTGGCCTCGCCTAGCTGCATGGGAGCTGGGTGAGGCCAGTCTGTCGGCTTCCCCCACTTCCTTGGTGACCAGTATGATGCAGTGGAGACAGCCATAATCCCCTTGGGAACATAAGTCCAGTGGCCTGGGAACCATACTCTCATCCCCTACAGTGGTCACAAGAAGCTCAGCCCAAGGAGAGTCTGAGCTCGGACACACCTAATCAATCCTACCTCCACCTGATGGTCTTTCTCTAACTGCCCTGTAGCCTAAGACAGGAGCTCTAAGGCCCCACACATCACCTGAGAAACCTGAATACTTATCCAGGCAACCTTGTATCAGCAGATGCTCTCTTGAAAGTACCACCTCCTGGCTGGTGGCCAGCCACCTGCTAGCACAACCAATATTAAAGAAAACCAGCACGTTAAACAAAACTACAACCAAAGACCCTCACAGAGTCTGCTTCACTCCCCTGCTACCTCCACCAGAGGAGGTGCTGAGATCCATGGTTGAGAGACCTGAAGACAGATCATATCACAAGACTCTTTGCAGGCACTTCCCAGTACCAGCCTGGAGCCCCATAGCTCTGTTGGGTGGCTAGACACAGAAAAGCAATAGCAATCACTTCAGGCTGCCTCTCTGGAAATATAATCCCTAGGGGAAGGAGGAGAACACCACATCAAGGGATCACTCCATTAGACAAATGAATCTGAATTGCAGCGCTTGACCTCCAGATGTTTCCTCTGACATAGTCTACCCAAATGAGAAGAAACCAGGAAAACAATTCTGGTACTATGACAAAGCAAGGTTCTTTAACAACCCCAAAAGATCATACTAGCTCCCCAGCAATGGATCCAAACAAATAAATCTCTGATTGCCAGAAAAATAATGCAGAAGGTTGATTATTACATTACTCAAGGAGGCACCAGAGAAAGGTGAAAACCAACTTAAAGAATTTTTTTAAAAAATACAAGACTTGGATGACAAAATCTCCAGAGAAATAGATAGCATAAATAAAAAACAATTACAACTTCTGGAAAAGAAAGGCACACTTAGAGAAATGCAAAATACATTAGAAAGTTTTAACAACAGAATCAAACAAGTAGAAGAACTTCTGAGCTCAAAAACAAGGCTTTTGAATTAACCCAATCGAAGACAAAGAAAAAATAAATTTTTTAAAAATGAACAAAGCCTTGAAGAAGTTTGGGATTTTGTTAAACGACCAAACATAAGAATAATTGGTGTTCCTGAGGAAGAAGAGAAATCTAAAAGTTTGGAAAAATTGAGGAAATAATCAAGGATAACTTCCCTGGCCTTGCTAGCAATCTAGACATCCAAATACAAGAAGTTCAAAGAGCACCTGGAAAATTCATTGCAAAAAGATCATCACCTGGCCACACAGTCATTAGGTTATCTAAAGTCAAGACAAAGCAAAGAATCTTAAGAGCTGTGAGGCAAAAGCATCAGGTAACCTATTTTAAAAAAACAACCTATCAGATTAACAGCAGATTTCTCAGCAGAAACCCTACAAATCAGATGGGACTGAGGTCCTATTTTTATCTTCCTTAAATAAAACAATTATCAGCCAAGAATTTTAGTATCCAGCAAAACTAAGCTTCATAAATGAAGGAAAGATAAAGTCTTTTTCAGACAAACAAATGGTGACAGAAATCCCCACTAACAAGCCAGCACTACAACTGCTAAAAGAAGTTCTAAATCTTGAAACAAAAACTCAAAATACACCAAAATAGAACCTCCTTAAAGGATAAATCTCCCAGGGTCTGTAAAACACACACACACACACACACACACAAACAAAAAATTCAGGCAACTAGTACAATGAATAGAACAGTACCTCACATCTCAATACTAACATTGAATATAAATGGCTTAAATGCTCCACTTAAAAGACACAGAATGGCAGAATGGATAAGCATGCACCAACCAAGTACCTGCTGTCCTCAAAGACTCACTTAACACATAAGGATTCACATAAGCTTAAGGTAAAGAGGTAGTAAAAGATATTCCATGCAAATGGATACCAAAAGAGAGCAGGAGTAGCTATTCTTATATCAGACAAAACAGACTTTAAAGCAACAACAGTTAAAAAGACAAAAAAGGCCATTATATAAGAAATGGACTAGTCCAACAGGAAAATATCACAATCCTAAATATATATGCACCTAACACCAGAGCTCCAAAATTTATAAGACAATTTCTACTAGGCCTAAGAAATGAGACAGACGGCAACACACTTACAATGAGGGTCTTCAATACCCCCACGGACAGCAGTAAACAGGTCATCAAGACAGAAAGTCAACATAGAAACAACGGACTTAAAGTATACACTGGAACAAATGGACTTAATAGATATTTACAGAACATTCTACCCAACAACTGCAGAATATACATTCTATTCATCAGCACATGGAACATTCTCCAAGATAGACTGCATGAGAGAGACCACAAATCAAGTCTCAATAAATTTAAGAAAACCAAAATTGTATCAAGTACTCTCTCAGACCACAGTCGAATAAAATTGGAAGTCAATTTCCAAAATGAACGCTCAAAACCAAGCAAATAGATGGAAATTAAATAATCTGCTCCTGAACAACTGTTGGATCAACAATGAAATAAAGATGAAAATTGAAAAATTATTTGAACTGAACAATAACAGTGACACAACCTATCAAAACTTCTAAGATACAGCAAAAACAGCGCTAACGGGAAAGTTCATAGCATTAAATGCCTACATCAAAAAGTCTGAAAGAACACAAATACACAATCTAAAGTCACACCTCAAGGAACTAGAACTAGAGAAAGAAGAATAAACAAAACCTAAACCCAGCAGATGAAAAGAAATAACAAAGATCAAGCCATTTGGTAGAACTAAATGAAAATATAATCAAAATTGATAGATCATTAGCGAGGTTAACAAAGAAGACAGAAGATCCAAATAAACTCAATTAGAAACAAAATAGGAGATATTACAACTGATACCACAGAAAGACAAAAGATCATTCAAGGCTCGTATGAATACCTTTATGTATACAAACCAGACCTAGATGAGACAGATAAATTCCTGGAAATATACAACCCTTCTAGATTAAACCAGGAAGAAAAAGAAACTCTGAAAATACCAATAACAAGCAATGAGATTGAAATGGTAATAAAAGAATTGTCAACAACAACAAAAAGTCCAGGCCGGGTACAGTGGCTGACGCCTGTAATCCCAACACTTTGGGAGGCAGAGGCAGGTGGATTGCCTGAGGTCAGGAGTTCAAAACCAGCCTGGCCAACATGGCAAAACCCCGTCTCTACTAAAAACACGAAATTAGCCGGGTGTGGTGGTGCATACCTGTAATCCCAGCTACTTGGGAGGCTGAGGCAGGATAATCATTGGAATCTGGGAGGTGGAGGTTACAGTGAGCTGAAATCACACCATTGCACTCTAGCCTGGG